TATATATTAATATTAATATGAGAAAATTGACTTGTAATATATAATAAATAAAATTGTCACTAAAATATAAAAATATAAAAATTCTTATTTTATATTGACTCAGAGTCAATTTATTCATTTATTATGTGAGTTAAATAGCTAATTTTTTAAGTTTTGTTTATAATAAATAATTATAATACACGCGTTTAAGTTTTAATTATATTATATCTTTATAGATAATAACAATTTTTGAATTTTTTTACATATTCTTGACAACGTACATCATGCATTTCACAACACAGTTCAACTTAACAATATGTATAATGCATATTTTTAACACAATTTAACCCACAACATACATCATGCTATTCCCAACACAACACACATTAACAACTCTTGAAATATTATTCAATTCAATATGAATCATCTCAATTTACTTCGTATAAATATTCTACAACGTAATCTTTCTTTGTAAACAACACAATACAACATCGCTCCATAGTTATTCAACTTATAACACTTAGCACATCAAAATATTTGACATAAACAACTTAACATGTTTAATCATCAAGTTCTACAAGAACACAAAAAGGTGAAAATTGATTAAGCTAACTTTTCTGGGTAAGCCAATTTAAGATAAATACACCCAAGACCAAAATTAGCTAAGTCACATTTGTCAAATTAAACCAATTTAACAAAAAGCATAATAGAGGTCAAAATTAACTAAGCTAAACTTGTCTAGTAAAGCCAATTTATCAACAAACATGACAAAGGTCAAAATTAGATAAGTCACACTTGTTTAGCTAAGCCAATTTATCCATAAAACTTCTCATCTCAATATATTCAAAATCCAAACCCTTATCTCTTTCACTCAAAAACAACAATCTAAACTATCAAAACCATATCAACTCAACATATGCAATCATCAATTTAACACCTTTGACTTCTACAACTCAGATTCACCAAATATAAACAACATGCAACAACATGATCTAAGATCATCCATTCTTTTCCTTTCATCAAGAAAATCCCAAGAACAAAACACTTGGGTTTAACCCTTCAAATTTCAACATAAAACATCATTTAAGCATGAAGTCAACACATTAATTCATCATAAGAAGGTTAAACTACAAGTTTTCCTTACTTCAAATTTACAAGAAACAAGGAAATGAAAAGAGAACGATGAAGAATAAAACTTCTTAAACCCTTGTCATATGATAACCCCAACCTTTGGTTCTAAGCTCTTTAGTTTTGAATCTTTACTTAGCCATGCAATCTCTAGTTCGAGGAAAAATCAAAGCACTCTTATGAAATCAAAAGAAAGAAAGATTCTCTTTAACTCCAAAGTCTATTTCTCTAAAAAAAAATTCTAAAAACTCTAAGGAACAAACTTATAAAGTTCAATTCTTTAGAGGACTTTATATACTTTTTCCTAAATATGGTCAACTTTGACTTCAACATAAAATTACCTCAAACAACTAAACTCTTAAAAATTCCTTAATTTTTAAAGTTTTAAAACATTAAAACAACACATCATCATAAATTAATTAAATATTAAGATTTAAAATAAACAACAATTCACAACACAATAATACAATTATTTTTGTCTTATATCTTGTATCAAACACATCTTAATTTTTTTTTTTATTTCAATGACATGAATTCATTATTTTATATTATATTACCTCTGAACAAACTTTTTAGGTTTCACTTTTAAATAAAACATGTTTAGTTGAAGTGGGATGAATGATATAATGGGTAGATTACGAATCATTTTTTTTTTACAGAAATATTATGAATCATTTAATAACCTTTTTTTAGGGTTGTTAGGTTAGAGAAAAAATAGTTAAATTGACTAATATAGTAAAAATGACATGATAATATGGAAATTGTGAAAATTATAAAGACTTGATTGTACTTTAAAGATTTTTAATACTGTAATTTTTGTGAATTTGGTCTCTTATTTTCTGAAAATTTATTCTCTCAATTATTTTAATCCTACAATTTTAATTCTTTAATTAACTTGACATTTAATATATAATAGTCTTAATAGATAATTAATCGAGATGCGAACGTGACAATGTATATAGTATGATCACATTTACATGTTTTAATCTGATAATATAATCAAGTGTCATGTTAATATTTTTATTGAATATTATATTTTAAGTTAAAAGACCGATCAAATTTATTTAATTAAAATATAAATACAAATTCTTGAAAAAATTGGAGACCTAATTTATGAAATGAATAAAATAAATAATTAAGTTAATTATTGTGTGCATACTAACTGATAACATGAGTTGCATTATAAAAGATGCTTTACTAAAGATAAATGTGTGTCTCCCAATCATGACTATTTTATATTAATTAGAATATACTGATGATAGGGTCTCAGAGCCATGTAGAAATACGTAATTTCATGTATCTCACTAAGATCATAGTTTAGGCATCTACTCATCCACAATCTGTATCTGTATTTGAAAAAGAATTACTTCTCACTAAATTTAGATAAGTGAGTGATAGTTAAAATGAACCTTCAAGAACTAGAGGGAGCACAATTCATGGAGGTCTACTACTTGCGAGAGTTGGCATATTCCCAAGTGTGATATTTTTTTATTATAAAAAAAATTATAATAACAACAAAAAGAATTTAATTTAAAAATTTTGTGCATGTTATTCTACTTACGTACTATGCCGATCCAAATGTAATATGACATGTCTTTCATCCATTTGCTTAAATTGCTTTTAAGAAGTATGGAAAATTTCCCCACCGGAAGAATGCTCGTATTTAACCTCAGCTTCTTTCTTCTCTCCCATGCTCTCGCTAGGTAACATTTCAACGCATACGAACTTGAAACGAAAAATTATTATTTTTATTCAATAATATTTACATTTTATATGTTATGAATAAAAACAGTTATCTATCTATTGTTTTGCTCCAGACTCATAAAAAATCAAAGGCCATTTTGTTATAAATTAAGCATTTTAAAAAAGTTAAATAGGATTCTATAAACATAAAATATGTAAATTAATTTTAATGTATAAAAAATAATTTATTCTACCTCTTATTCTCGTTTCTTAGAACTTATAACTTATTATGAATAGTTTATGGACTCAGAAGTCATGTATGTAATACAGAGATGGATGTACATGTAACATAGCGGAGGGACTTGCTCTCATTACTATTTGACACATAAATATATTTTTTATTTAAAAAAATAATATATTTTAAAAAATAAAATTTATATTCTAATAAAATAGATATATATGTTTATATTATTATATGTATAAAATATAAACTTCATCGATATGTTCATTTATTTTATATTTAAAAAACATCCGAAAGAAATTAATTTTTA